ACACGTAAAACTATGCGTTCGGGGGGAATCGAACCCCCGTCGAATGCTTGGAAGGCATCCATGCTGACCATTACACCACGAACGCTACAAATATGACGATATGGGTCATGTATAGATGCGTGGAAGGGATAGTGAAATGTTGGAACGTTAATGATTAGAGTTGTTCGAAACGACACAGCTAATTGAAAAAATGTTTTCGCTGAGCTCTCTCTCTGGAACATTTACAATTAATCAAAAAATTATATGAAAACAACAGTGCGATATTTGAGTTTTAACACATTGACGTATGTGATACTATTTTCTGCATATTCACAATTTTATATTTCGCTCTTATGTCACTGGGATTACTAGTATATGTATGCTCATACCACCCTTCATAAATCAATATTAAAAAACATCTGCGTTTCTTGCAGCTTCAACCACCTTCCTAGGTATTTGATAGTAAAAAATGCTCGAGAGTTGCGTTTACAATCTCGAAGGACTTCCCGATAGAAAAGTTTTCTCTGCTTGTCACAATATTGTTGCCGGTACGAATGCTATCCTCTCCATATTCACTGTATTCATTTATAGTAGGTCACCCAAAAGCAAAGAATCGTCGGTGTATAAAGGAATTATAATTTCTCAATTTGTGAGTTTCGATCAGCTATAGCCATAATATGTGGATTGTTCTAGTTGTTTCTGTTCATTTCGATGTTCCTTTGGTCGAGCTCTTTCAAATTTTATGCAGATTTTCGGTCAAATCTGATCTATATTGAAGGATTCGTCAGCTTATTAGGTGTAAACTGTGGTCAGGCATACGGCGTTTGCTGTTTCTTATTCGGATTCTACGGGTCACTCATTCTCATTTCATATATTTACCGTCTTTATATCATATCTCATCCAAAACATATCGTCAGAGTATGTATTAGAGATATATTATCTTAAAACAAACATAGCGTTACAGAAAAGATTCTCTCTAGCTTCGATGAGTTTGATAACCTTCACACTCGGTAGTGTACTTCCCACATTACTCTTTTCCCTTGCTTATTTTGCAGATTTTACCATTCCCAATAATCCATTGAGGGTAAGTGTTAAAAATTGATTCGTATATCTGATGTGTCGACTTCTAGAAACTTAGCTTACCAGAACGTGAGATGTTGATACGTAAAGGAGTTATATGGTATCCAATTATGACAACTCGAGGGCTCATATATTGTTTCTATTTTGGTAGCATACTTGTTGCTTTAGCCATAGTAAGACTATATTCATTCATTACAGCTAACAATTCTGTTTCAGGCCATTGTCATTTCTTGTTTAGAAATTGCTCGTCAATTATATATTAAACAGACTATATCATCAGCTACGACGAAAAAGTATCATATTCACGTGTTGAAATCTTTAATAATTCAAGTAAGTTATTCATTCAGCCTTTATGATGTGTTTTACCTTTGAATGCTCAAAATAGAATATTTTTTTTCAGTCAGTATTTACAGTATTCATTATTACACTGGCACCATTCATAATGCTGCTTCGTTTGATTTTCGATCTCAGCCCTTGTATGCTCTAATCCAGAACTTTTTTTAACATACTTTCTCGTACTTTTAGGTTTGGTAGAATTCGCTATGGTTTTAATGGGGACATCTTTCACTGTTCATACATCAATTCTTATTCTATTCAATCAGAATTTGCGTCAAACTGTTATACGTTTATTTTTCCTCGATAGGACAAGATTAGAAATAATTACTGCTCGCTCTTCGAAAGTTATCCCTCGATGATACAATCAAGCGATTTCAAATTCAGTATTGCTCACCCACAAGAAATTAGTTATGAAAATTGTTATTAATTAATGAGACAATGCTGACATATAAAATGAATTTTCAAGTCTCCATTTCTATCAGTTGTAAAAAACACATAGCCATTCATTCAACAATGTTTTCAAACGAGAAAGCTTAGCACGATACAATTATCAGAGTTAAGCAAGAACCGCCTCCGAGATTTTATTTAATTTCCGTTCAAACATATAATGATAGAGTAATTCATCACTCACTCTCTAATTAAGTTTATTTCCCTTTCTATACCTTCAATTTCTTATGATTGATTGAATTTCAAGTTTTCCAAAGTGTTCCATAATTCAGATGCAAAATTCATCTACCAATATGAAATATGAAATCGCACATGGTTACAAAATACTGTTGCAGATTACTTTCCGTTTACGTCAGAATCTTCTATAAATTCTATTTTTCAGCTTCTCTGTAAGAATTTCAGAGCAGTTGAATTTTTTATAATTAACTGTGATGATGTTGACAAAACTAATTGTTCAGAAATGATAGAAAGCTGCTTCCATGAGGATGGTCTACCGAACAACAGGATATTCATGAATATTAACTCCGTTATTAGCTTTCTCAACATTATTTCATTCGTTTTTTCTATTTTCATCATCTACATGTCTCCTCCATCAAAAGAAGATAAGGTGTACAAATATATCACCATCCTCCAGCACGTCAGTTTGAGACATATAAACCGTTCACATATATTTCATTTTTAGATATCTTTAGGACTTGTTGTTCTATTCTGGTTTTCATGCTGTTATAGTATCTCCTCTAGTTTAGCTTTGCTGTATACAGATGGTATTGTCCGATACACATTCATGAATGGAGCTGACCTGTACACGGTTCTGATTATTCTATTTAGCTTCTTCATGACAGCTCTGAAAGGCGCGTATCTGTACCGTCTTCGGGTAATAAGTCATGAAAATCATATAATGAAGGTACCACCCTACTATTTCAAATTTATTAGGAGTACCAGTCTTTTTGAAGAACTCTTATGTTTTTTATGGATGCTTGTTTTTCTTTTTTCCTGTATACAGTTCTGCTCTAGCTGTACTATTTTCCATGAGCTACACATTCGATTTCAACGCATTAGGAAATCCTCTTCAAGTACGAGATTAATCGAATAATGATGATTTATTCATTTTGTAGACTCTAACTGATAGAGAAGCTCTCTTCTTAACTGAGAGAAAAGTTTTTTGGTTCAAATACACAAATTTAGGTAATTTTTTGTTCATGTTTCTCTTCGGCATCCAATTGGTATACGTATCTATGGTAATATCAGTCATAACGGAATGAAACGAGAACAGGCTTTCCAGACTCTCATCGTTTGCAGCAAACTAATATTGAGAGAAATTAAGAAAAAAGAAGCCATCGCTTCTACTAATACTTTGCGTTATCAGAAGAAAGTTTTGAAAATTTTAACTCTTCAGGTATCAGCATAACAGAATCTGTCGAAGAACATTGAGCTTTTTCAGACATTAGGCACAGTTATGATAATGATTCCAGCTCCTTCCGCAGTATTAATGCAGATTATCATAGATTCAAGCATGTGTGAGAATACTTGGAATCTGCAAGAGGAGAACAATACACTTTAGGTATCACACAGACGGCTATCTCTTTGTTTGGGCTCAGTTTTTTCGTAAACACAGTGCTACTCCTAACGCTCAATGTTTCTTATCGTCAAACAATTATATCTTTATTCAAAAAGAATGTTTTATCATCTGATAGTTAAAAGAATAAGTTTTGCGAGTAGGCGGAATGATGCGTGATATAACATTTTATTTGTTCTACTTGTTTATTTTGTAGGAATACTAATAAAAAAAGAAATTATGTGTTTCATGTTTTGTTGATGCTTAGCAATGCTGCAACATCACTTGTCATACGGTTTTTCCGCAGTTACTTTCAATAGCATCAGTTTTTTTCTATATTTTGAATATTACACAACGGAACACACACTTCAGAGATTTCAGACTCCACGTCGAGCTTCACGTGATATGGGTATGCTGAATTAATTTTTCATTTTGGCATACGCAATTGTGATGAGAGGTTGCATACGCTATGATATATATTCAGACTTTTTCCCCACTCTATTGTCAAAGTCATAGTCTGCAGCAGCTTATACGTAAGTGTATTTTTCATTTGTTTAATAGACATGCGCTAATTAAATCAGCTATTACGTGGTAGTTTCACTCACTGAATATCAAAAAAGGTATCAGAAAGAGGAAATGCTTGCTGGCTGTATGCATAAGAATGGTCTTCCGGATAATGAACTATTCTCTCGTATACACGACATTGTTGCAATTGCTAACTGTTCAATGCTTTTATTTTCGTTATTCATAATACTTAGATCTCCAAAATCCAAAGAATCCAAAGCGTATCGGTATATGGCGTTCAGCCAGTACGTAAGTTTGAATGCTTCTGGGCTAAGCTTTCTTTTATTTCCAGGGAGTACTGTTTGCTCTTTCTATGATCTGGTCCTTAGTAACTAAGTATAACGTAGATGTTAAATACGGTGTCGCCTACACAGAAGGAGTTCTTGTTTTCACAAACTTTAATGGTGGACAAGTTTATGTGATTCTAATTTTCATTTTTGGAATGTTTTTGGTTTTGTTACAAACTGCTTATCTCTTCCGATTACGAGTCATAGCTCATCAAAATCATTTTGTTCAAGTAACTTCGAAAACCATACAGCCATAACCGATTGATTTCAGAATTCTAGAACGTTCTATGGGTATATAGTAGTTATAACTGTTTGTTTGGCTATCTGTTCTCCGTTCACTTTTCTTTTTGCATATGTTTCAGACGTTACAGCTGAAGGAAACCCAATCTCAGTTTGGTTATTCTTCACTGATCATTCCAAGTTCATATTTACAGACATTCAGTCAGCAAGAAATTGAATTTTTGATGAGCAGAAGAGTTATATGGTATCCTTACAACAGAATCACCAGCTATCCTTACTTTCTCTCTTTTGGCTCTTCCTTAGTCTGTACTTCTCTGGTATGAGCAATTCAGAAAAAAAAATTTGTTCTTCGCAGGTTCTCTTTTATCTAAGCTGGGAAATAGTTTCGGAGATTAAGAAAAAAGAAATCACATCATCAACAACAACTCTCAGATATTATAAAAGAGTTTGGGTAAGCTTAACGATACAGGTATACCCGTCTTAGTCTGACTTATAAGGAACTTATTGTAGACATTAGGCACTTTGATAATAATGATACCGGCGCCTCTAGCAGCATTCATTGAACTCGTTCTACCAGTTAACATGTGTAGGAACATAATTACCTTCTTATATGAGACATATCTTAGGTATAACGCAGACTGCGGTTTGTTTTTTTGGATGCTGTTTCGGTGTTAATGCAACGCTTCTACTTCTTCTTAACGCAAATTATCGCCAAACTGTAACAGGTTTACTCATCGAGACGGCTGTATCGAAAACAACGTCTCAGTTCGTAAAAATGAAATCTCGAGTTAATCCACATTGACTGATTCTTCGGCGTCAGCACTCTCATAAATTGAATGTTGTATGAGCATATCTTTTTGAATTTTCACTTGTTTCACTTCGAAGAATGAATATCTCTTCAGATGTTTTCATGCAGAAGGTGAATGTAGAAAATGAATTATTTAGTTTTTAAACCTTCAATGAAAAATCATTTTCAACAAAAACCATCGTTTCCTCCTTATTGTTCAAAGAGTGAAAGCTAGGCTGGATATTGAAACCAGAGATAATAACATGCCATCATCTAGCTCTCCCTTATCTTCATATTCTCGAGACGAACGTTTCAGGATCTTGAACTATTTTTGATTGACTTCTCAGAAAGGATTTCCTTATAGTTCTGAAATACATTGTAAAATTATGGATTAGATTGAACGAGTACACCTGTTGCACATTAGAACAAGTATGTTATTGAGTGAGAATCTATACAATACAAATATATTGAAAATTCTATAATATAGTAAACTATCCATTAAAGGAAAATGGTATAGATACAGTAGAAGGAATGTTGCCAAAAAAATTCCGAGAAAGTTTATAAAAATTGGTAGCTCTGCACTAACAGATCGTAAACCATGCGATTGTATCTGAAACGGAGATAAGATGTTTTAGTTATAACGAGAAAAAGAAAATGGAGAGATAGAACGTCGTACTGAAAGGGAAAATGTACCTTTTTCATAATGAAAGCCAATGCAACAAGATAAAGTATGCAGGATACTAAAACAAGAAATAGCACACCGTAGGAGTCAATCAGAATAAGGATTTTCGCTAATTGTGTATCATCTGTTTGAAAGAAAATAGATTCAAAGTTATCACAAGTGACAAATACCATTGAAGAAGAACGTTGCTTTTGCTGGATTCCAAGTGAACGAAGCATCTGGAGTAACCAAAAGAAAAAAGTTTAGAACACCATAAATCACGCAAACACATTTCATTTTCTGAAACGCAATGAGAAGAGTGAAAGAACTAGGTGGTGAAGTTGAAAAAACTTACATAGGTGCTAGTAGGATTGAATAAACTGTCGAGCCACATTGGGAAAACCAAGGCAATCAAGCGATTTAAGGATAAAATTAATATCGTGGGATATTCAGCTGTCCACGTTGCGTGATAAATTGCTCCAAAGATCTTAGAAGAACGAAGTAAATGTTGTTTGGTCTCAAGTTCACCTTATTAACGGTAAGGCAGATGTGACAGTTATAACAAATGCCTGAACACAACATAATGAATTGAGCCCAACAGTTTATTCCTTGGCAAGCAGCAGCAAAGGCTAATAATAGGTAGGCCGATATTTTATTCAGTTTGTTGTTTTTATGGATAATCTGAAAAACGTAATAGTAAAGTGATGACGAACTGCAAACTAACATAGACCAAACGGAACTGAAGGATTCCTCCAAGAAAAACTACAATTAGGTAGATTATTAGGAACGTTATGTATTCAACAGTATCATGAATCTCACTATCCATCTGTAAATGATTTGAAACGTCTCACGTGTATGTTTTCAAGAAAATCTAACTTAATAAATGTTTCAAGAAAGAATTTGTTTCAAATTGTACTCTTACATATCATTAAACATTAGAAACAAATTTTTCGAGAACTTGGTCAAGAACTAGTAAAATGCTTAAACCATGGCTCGAAAGTTACATTTCTACGGAATTTGAATCACAAAGTTCGTGTATAATAAGACTAAAGAACACTATGTGATCAGTTTCTGCAGCTTCAGTGAGAAAACTATCACAAACTAGAAAATCCACACAAAAAAATTAACGAAACAGAGCAAAAACTAATGTTTGTTACAAATAAATTGAGAAAACGCAAAACATTCGATCAGGATGAGATTCGAACTCACGCGGGGAAACCCCAATGGATTAGCAGTCCATCGCCTTAACCACTCGGCCACCTGATCACGTATGCTTAGGTTTGCCGTTCAGTAGACGATTTTTCAACAAAACTTTATCATTCTACTGATATGAGATACATATGCATGCTGGACTGTTTGGTAAGTAAATTACTTTATTAATGATATGTTGTAGAAGGTGTGAAACGAAACAACAACCACAAAATACTTCAAAACTTAGAGATCGCTGTTGAATCGTGGATACGCTTTGACGATGCGAAGAAGAAGTGTCGCCGTATCGTCCTATTCATTACAAGAATTTATAAAATTGAAAATATGAGTGTACCTGTTGTACATTAAAAGGATAATATTCACAAAGGCAAATCGAAAAATCACAAATATATTGAAAAAGTTGAAGTAAAGAAGGCTGTCAGACGGTGGATGATGCCATAGATACAGAGTGATACCTGTGGCGAGAAACAACCCAAAAAAATTTAGTAGCAGAGGTAGCTCAGCGCGAACAGAGCTTAATCCACTTGATTGAATCTAGAAAATGCAGTCAGAGAGAAAAAAACAACTAAGAATAACTTTGTAAACTAAACCAATGAAAGTAATGATGTAGAGTAACGACGACAGTAGAACAATCCAAACAACGATTTTGGAGTCGATGAACACGATAATCGAGCTGATGACTGTGTCACCTGAATTTTCACCCATTTTACTACGTCTGCTTATACTGAAGCTAAGTAGGCTATGGCTAATAGGACACCTTCAAAATAAAACGTCGCTAACTGTGGATCCCATAATGATGAAATGGCAGGTGTTAAACAAACCACAAAATTTGTAAGAGCATAAACTATACAAAATTGTAAGAAAATCTTGAACGAAACAATCAACATATGAGCTTAAGTGTGTGAAACCTGGAAAGGGCGTCCATCAAACATGAAATGAAGATAGTATGGCCAATTAATAGCAATCAGTCGGTTGATGGATAGCATGAGAATTGTAGGATATTCTCCAGTCCAAGAGCCATGAAACACAGCTCCGAAGAACTAAAAAACAAAAATTACAGTATGTGAGGTATTATAATACTTTGTTGAGAGTGTAATTCGCATCAGAACGGAAAAAAGTGATGCATATCATTGCGAGTTGAGATAAGCAGTTGACTCCTTGCATGAATGCAGCATGAGCCAAAAGATGATAAGCAGCATATTTCCGTAAATTGTCTTTAGTTTTAATTATCTGAAACAATTATTTCCAGCTATGAACTTTCTTCAATGTCGAAGAGAAACCCACAAAAACGAGACGAAATTGGAGCAGTGAACCTAACAGAGTCATAACGAAATAAATTGAATAGAAAGTAAAATGATTTGGTGACGTGTAATCATCAGTCTCTATGGGTGGAGGACTATCAGTTGACATAAATAGTAAATAGTAGGAAATATAATAATAATAATAGTAATTTTGTGAAGTTTACAAGATAGCTCCAATAACGTACCGTTTAAACATATGAGAAAACAGATGATTCTGCCCGAATCTGCAAAAAAAAAGAATCCTCATGTAAGAAAACAAGACTCTGCTCATCAACTGTATGCAAATGTGAGTGTTGTGAGAAATAGAAACGGATATGTTCATGGTTTTTATCATTTTTTTCCAAAAATATACGAAAATCAAGCTGATTCAATCGTCAGAACGTTTCAGAATCAAGCTAATCAACTGGTTGAATGCATTTGAATAACTTGATGAAACATATATTCGTATCAATTCATTTCAATCATTAGAGTTTCACGTAATTCGACAGCACGTCAGCCAAAAGATAAGGAAATGAACAAAAAATATTATTCTTTTCTCGAACACAACCGCTCCGTACGTCGAAAAGAAATAAAAATGATTCTATACGTTCACGTGTAACCACGTGGACCACGCGAATTTAGGCAAATTGAATTCATGTCAATTATGTAATTTGGTTAAATGGTTTTTCGGAAAATTTATGATTGGCACGATTTGTGTTTTGTTCTTATAAACAAATAATTTTCTCTTGATAGATCTGACTTTTATGGCATACCAAACTTCTGATTTGCATGGCTGTCCATATGTGTGTGCCTGAATTCTTTTATTTTTCAATCTTGTTCATTGAAATCGTATTAAACACCAGCCCAAAAGATTATGCTGATGCTTTCTCCTTCTGCGCTCTATTCTCATCATAAGAAAGAGAGAAAGAGAGAGAACGAAAAAAGCAGAAAGACGCTGTATGGACAACAAACACATGATGTTCTTTGCCAGTACCTATGCTTTGCTCCAACAAGTTCGTATAGATAGATAATTCGATGATAGGCAGAAGATAACTTTTTTTTATTTTATAGGAAAATATGAATGTTTGATTTTCTTCCAATGACGGAACAGGATTTTGTGATGCTGTTGTTCGATCTGACCATGACGAGGAGATTTTCGTAATTCTTTCCAAATAAAACCTTCTTCTCTAATTAGCTTTTCGTCATGTGTGAGTATGATAAACAATAAAGTTTTTAACTTCATCCATTTCATTGATTACAACATACCAAAAGATCAATCTATTTTCTTACTTTATAAGGATATGATAAGATGCATGAACACATTCATGTAGCTAGTCGTTCCAATGAATTCTTATTCACAGCCCTCCTCTTACATCTCAATTTAACTTAACAGATTGAACATTTTAAAATCTTTGATCGGATATTATGAAGTTAATTGTATTATTAAACCGGCTTTAAATCGTTTTTTTGCCTCCAAGTTTATACCATGATGATTTGTGACCATCTCTTTCAAGTGGCATACACATCGACTGTTATGTCTTTAATATCTTCCTCATATGGTACTTGAATAATACAATATGAATGAGGTTAAAAACTATCGATGAGATATTCGTTTTGAAGTTGATACTCTTTCCGAAACTCTTCCCAATTTATTAATTTCTTGCAATAGTGATGTATGAAACATACTAGATTGCCAACTGACCTGAAATTCTTTCATTTCCATTTCAACACCTTTTAAAAACTTTTAACATGGAATATAGATAAAGAGATAAAGAAAAGAAGAGAGAACAAGAGCGAGAGAGAGAAAGAGACAAAAAGAGGAACAGAACTTTCTCTATATTCTATTTATTTCATGTTAATTCTTTACAGATAAAAAATGAGATCCAGTTTTTTTCTTATCCAGTATCCCATCTATAGTTGTTGCCATTTGACTTGATTGTCAGTACAAGCTAGCCATAGCCCATTACGCAATCAAGCCAGCTTTTCTTATTCTCTAAATCTGCTTTTCATCTTATCCACCAACTTCTATCATCTGATATATCTATTTAACAGACGTCCTTTTATGTATTTACCCGGTTTTTTTCAGCTTCTTATTCTTTTTCGTCTCATTCCTGCCGCTCATTAGACTCTTCCATTACTTCATTTTGTTTCTCTCTTGCTAAGTCTTCTCTCAAAATATTTTTTTCATAATATAAGGCCATGTGTTATTACACAACCATAGCATATAAAATATATCTCCATCTAAGTAAAATCTGTCACTTCTTCTTGTTAAGTGATACTGTCTTCATATCATTCAACTTCAGCTTTCCTAATTTTTCTAAAGTAAGATGTCGTATAGGAAGGCATTGTTTACAATTTCTATAACATAGTAGAATCATTCGCTGAATAATAAAAGATTTTTCTGTATTTTATGTGTGTTTTAACTTTTGAATGTAAATTTTTGTTTTTATTCGAATGTGTTTGTTTGTTAATTTCTCACAAAATATTTTACTCTAACGTCATGATCTTTATTTTCTCAGAACCATGTTGGTCTTCTTACTTCTTCTCATGGTCTCATTGACCGCATCTCAACGTCCGAGTATAATTTTGGCTTCTCAAGTTCAAAATCCTCCAGCAGCTTTATTTCAGGTAGAGGATACGGTTTTTATAACATTATAAAGATTTGTAGGCTAGAGCGACATCTCAAGATGAGCTAGATCCTTGCCAATATATGCTTCAAAACTTAACCAATGGTTTGTGAATACTCTGTGAACAGTTCAAAGTAGAGTACATTCAGTTGATGTTGATAATCTTCAAGCACACGAATTCGCTTCACTCGAACAATGCCTGTACTATTATTTAGCTGGAGAGACAGCAAAGCGAATGAAAAGGTATATATTCAGTTTTTCAAACCGAGTAGATAAGAAAAATAAATTCAGGCTAGGAATCCCACACCCAATTGCTTCCGTCCCACCAAATTATTTAAGCCGTCACCCCGTCAAGATTAAGTTCAACCAAATCACTTTGCAACATTTCGAACTCGTACGAAAGAACAATGAAGAAGTAATTGATAAATGAAATAATTACAGAATGAATATCTTAAAGATATTGCTATTCATGGATATTTCGAGGTTAGCTGGATGGATGATCGCCTTGTCTGGAGTACTGTGAGTAATGGGGAAAAAGTTCTAAATACTCATTCCTATTAACAGGATCAATGGAAAATGGAAAAATTACAAATCCAGAGCTTGAATCATGTTTGGTTCCCAATCTTCACAGCCCAAAAGTATGATTTCAAGCTTTCTAGCTTTTATTAAAGCTTAATTCATCATTATGTAATTAGCAAAAGATGACCGTACTGAGTGAACCGGTTTCGATCTAGAGAAATATTAAAACTAAACAAAGAAAAGCCTTTTGGACCTTATCTTCACTTAACTCAGTTCATTTTCAGTCATGAAACTCATTTGAAAAACGGAGATGCTTTTGAGGTTAGACGAGTAGAAACATCTCATGAAGGAAACGTGTCAGCTATTGTTGCTTTCTCTCTAAGGTTTGTCTGCCTGTATGCTATAAGCTCATCAATTATTCAGAACGTTTTGCGATGATTCTGACTTTGAAAACTATCCAGATGATGTCTACAAGTGTTGCTTCACTTTAGAGCCAAGAACTAATCCCGTAATCTGATTAATGAGAAACAAACTGAAGTAGATATATACTTTTTCAGGATATCATGGAGTTTGACGAGTCTGGACTACCAATCTTCACAGATCCAAAATATTTCCGAAACTATGGATGGAAACTTTCGGGAACGGTTCCTCAAGCTTTGGATGATCCAGAACAAGTTGCTCAAGTATGTTATACTTCTCTTTCATACTGCAATAAACTGATTCAGATGGGTTTCTGCATTAACTTGCAAAGAGCCACTTCAACCATCCGTATTGAGTTGACCGTTCCATTGATGGTATGCTCTCTTCTTTTCCTTTTGACTCCATTCCTGGGACAAATCAAACTACAGGCAAGAGGATCCATAATTATAAACAATATAATACTTCCCTTTCAGGTCGTAGCAAAGTTCTTCGTCATGGCTTTGCAATTCATAACATTCCTTTTGTACAGCAACCGCATTGATACTCACCTGGGAACTGCTTCAGCTACACCTCGTCTATGTATGTTTTGTGAACTGTTTTGAATCAACATAATTTCTATTTCAGTGAGATTCCTAGAATTCTCTGTACTCCTGAATGGTGTATCCATTGCTGTTTCCGTTGTTCTTTGGTCACTATGCAAAATTAGAAGAACTCTTCCTCCCTGGGGACAATTAACACAGTATATTTCACTTTTAATCTCAGCTAAATTCATAATGCATGTTAAGATTGTCTTCTTTGGTAAATCGCTTCTTGTGCGTCTTCCAAACACACTCTGATGATGAGGAGATGGAAAAAGCTACCGGAAATACTTATCAAAACGTAAAATTCCTTTCTAATTCTAATATAATGAATGCATTTCAGGATTGGATTGCTGCATTCACAGCCATTCATGCTCTTCTCATGTCACTTATCATCATAGTTTTCATATTCGCCTGGCTGATCATCCTCTAAGCTCTGTATCGAATCATCTATCCTAAATTATTATGGTTCTTTCATCTTTTTGCTCATTGTGATCATCAGTTAGACGCGATCTGTGCTTTTGATAACCGGTGACCCTATGTTACCATAAATGTCATTTTAATTTATAATCTTTGTACATATCCTTCATTTCTTCTTATAATTATTTATTATCTCAACAAAAAAAACCTAATTAGCATGAACAATAAGAATATGTTAATGTCCGATCACGTCACTACTCTTACGTGAAAACCATTCACTTAGAAATATTGCAGTTGACGACTGGTTGTGCGAATATGAATAAATGTTTTTTTATAATTTTTTTTCCTCTTCTACGAAAATTGTATTGACGACTATTGTTACCAAATAAAATTTCCCAGGATAGCCAATGGAAGAATAACTGCAGGTCACAATAGCTGTTGACCCAGCAATATCTTCTACTGGAGGTCATTAGCTATAATCCGTTTCTAACATCGGTCCATATTTAGTTATTGGTCATTACTCTCAACCACCTCCTGTTTAATTTATATTTTAATATCGTTCAATGAGTATTATATATTTTAGGTAATTCAGCTTTGGATACAATGAGTGTTGTAGAGCAGAAGATCGAGGATGAACCAGAGCAAACTGATTACCTCACTTGGCGTGATCAAAACCTAACTGACAAACAATCAGAAATGGATGAACTTAAGGATGAGCAAAAACAAACTTTCACACGAATTTTTGAGGTTTCATCACATTTCAATTATTAGATAATTCATTCAAAGAATTTATTCAGTTACAAGATCAACTAGCAAAGGAATCTGAAGACAAGACCACAATTCATAGCCTGAAAGTTCGAATCGCAAATTTATCGCGGAAGATTGCTAAAATTGCCGTGGAAATGGAATCAACTACTTTGGAAGTAAAATAATTTTTTTGAATTAGCATATGTATTTGATGATTATTAGATGCACGTGCTGAACTCTGTTGAAAGCTTTGAAATATTCGAGCAAGCCATACCATATCTGAACCGTATAAGGAATGCTCAATTGGAAATAGTCAACTCTTCTGAGGTAACAGATTAGTTGAACATTTTAATAACCATATATGCATATTTCAGTTTCTTCGTGTGAGTAACTAACGTTTTTTGGAAAAATCAAAAAAAAATTGAAAATCATTGTCTCACGTTGTGTCTTTCAACTGTCTTCAAACATTCTGAATATGTTTGTTCATTTATCCATACTATGACCTGTATTTAAAATAAAAATTTCAAAACAACAAAATTTGATTTTTATTTTTTTTTCTGAAAACAAGCAGAAATATAATAGTTATAATATAATATATTAATAATAAGAAAAACAAAAATATGAAATCAAGTAAAAGACATGAAGCTAAGTGTCAAACATGCTCATATGATTCTAGGAGAACGATGCGAATGGAAGAATAAACGATGAAATATCGGAAACGCTGAAAGCACAAGTATATAATAGAATCTGACGAAATCTTCAGAAGATACAGTATTATCTATATATATCTTCAAAGCGGATGATTTAGCTCCGCAATAGCCTTATATGTGGGAGCTTTTCCAACTTTTTCAACAATATTTCAATGAAAACATGGAATGTGTAGAAATGAGGCTTGTATCAAATTTTGAAGATGATATGACGATAACTGTATGGAAACTTCTGAAGATCATTAGTCACAGGATCCTATGGAGAGAGAAAAAAAGAGACAGACGGAGGGAGAGAGAAAGAGAGAAGTGGGAGAGTGCAATGAGTACCAATTGAAATAGTTTCAAAGTATTGAACAGAAAAGTGAACATCTAGAAGTTTCATTTGCTTTGAGCTGATATTTATTTCTTCTTTTTGAAATATTCGTATGAAAGGAGAATATAAATGTTTTGAAACTAGCGTGAATAAACCGGTAACGGAGATCATGGATGGGGATTTGGTTGAGCGAAATGTGATCGCTTTGAGCTGCTGTTACCAACTCAACTGGTTATATGATGATTTTCGATAGAAAAAAAAATAGTAATTAAAATCTTCAATCAGCTTGTTGAAGTAGCGTAAGAGATGTTCTCATCCAACGTGTGCAGATGATTAAGGAATAACTAAAATCTCAAGGATATCCATTAGGAAGCTTTCCATCCCGCATGGCATAAGGACCATTCACGTTCCGACTAAAAAAAAAAATATTGAAATACTGAATATGAACTAACTTGATGACATCCTCGATATCCGGCATATGCCGTTTGCTTGTGTGGTTGTTGTTTGCTCTGGGATTCTGATTCAAAATATCATCATCATCATTTAAATCAACTGATAGAGCTCGCAACGTCTTTTTCCTTACAACATCAAGTTGAGGCTGAAAATCATAGTTATTGTTGCGTAATAAATAGTGTGACGGAAACTGAGAAATTATATAGTTAAGCAATTTCCGTGCTAGAGGTGATTAAATGGCAATAGGATGGTCCAAAGCGAAAAGGAAAAGTCAGAAAGAAGAATTTAAACAGAGGATGCGTAGACATGCACAGAGGTACAACATTTCTTGCATTTTAAGCTCTAGAGTTATGTTGGCTATGATAAAGTTCGAGCTGTTCTACGTGAAGAGGAAAGCTGATAGAAAAAGAGAGGGCAACAACGTCTTTACCGTAACCCAAACACGCCGACGAGCACAAAAAGGACAAGGACGGTATGTAGATGTGTAACTAAGTGTTGGCATCATGAAAGGACATAACGAAATAGTTAGTAACGTTTCCTTTCCCACAATCTGAATTCTCAATGTTTTTGGATCCTATGATGTTACAGAGAAAAACAGTTTGAAGGGAATAAGTTGCAGTGCTTAATTGTTAAGGGTGAACGGAAAAGGTGGTAAAACGAAAAATGAAAACAAAATAGTAACTGTTAATAGAAAAAACAAATTTTTAATTGTTAGTTACTACCCACATTCATCGTTTCACGTCGTTGTGGCATTCTACGGGATAGTGCCGGTGTGTTCACCGGGGAAGAAAACTGAGAGAATTCGGGACCTGCTGAACCTTCCTGTTAAAAGACAAAGCTCAGCATTTAGATAAAGGAATAATACAAAAGGTGATAGATCCATATGATATCAAATTGAGAGATCATTCGTATAACGTAAAGAATAAAAAAAACCTTTGGCAGAAGTTGAACAACGGGTTTTCGGATTGGAGGATACATGGCAGTTACTATACTTGAACTAGCTGGCATACCGGGTGGAGGCATGGCTAACTATAAGAAAGCGTTCTCTTTCGTTACTCTAATTATTTATGCTATGAACTTACAAGTTGTTCGAATTTCCTTTCAGGACTGCTAGATGGAGGTGGTTTGAACAACGACTCTACTGTAACTCGAGCTTCTTTCCGTCGTCTTTCTTGACGAGGAGAAGAAGATGGTTGTGGCAAATCGTTGAGAATGTTCATATCGTCTTCTTGCATATCCTCAAGCTCGCTTTCTCTATTGGCTTTTAATCTAGAGTTAATATGTCTGAAAGAATAATCAAGTAAGATCTGTAAATTGTGAAAAAATAAGTACCGTGTGGGATTGAAAGACATGCGCTGGAAATCTTTGCCTCCTAATATCCCGCTGTTTCGGATGGGAAGCCCTCCAACAGCAGCAGAATCACGTCGTCCCGTGTTTTTCTTTGGAGGTGTCGTTGATGGTCCAGGTTGCTCATCGTCATACTAAATGAGACTTAATTAAGAACTTCATTTCAGAAATCAATGAACCTTGTCATCCATACGTTTCTCCAATGATGTTGTTGAAAAAATCGGAGGAACCGTTTGACCAACATATGAAGGAATGGTTAAATCAGCTAAAGGATTGCTCATCAATACATTATAACCCGTGACATTTTTCGTGACGTTCGAAGTCTTTTCATACTGAATAGAAGAATATTCATAAATGGAGCTTATAGTATTAAAACCTGATCGCTACTACTGTAATCTGTTGTGTCATCGTTGTTACTCTCCGGCTCTGTACGTGCTCCATCGTCTAGTCTACGTTTATTCTCTTTTGCTGGAGGCAAACTGCCCGCACGTAAATCGGCCAAAGTTTGAACCTAAAAATAAATTAGTTCACGTTCCTAGCGCTTCCTTTTTCACCTGGTAGGGATGGTTGGTTATAATTTGCTGGCGACTATCGAAGTGTTCGTTATATGGAGCATATGACGAAGAAACAGGTACAGTAGAAACGTTGCTCACTGAAGTCATAGGAGCCATCCCACAATTGGGAGGAGGTGGAGGAGCAGCTACTGGAGCAGCAGCTCGCATGAGAGGAGATGTTAAGTAGGAAGTAGGCTGAAAGTCTTATTGTTATAGTTCAATATCTTGTTCCTTTTTACTTGAGCTAATGGGTTTGGAGGGGCGATTGGCTGAGAGCCAGTAAGTTGAATTTCGCTAGTAATTTTTGATTCTAATTGCTGTAGCCGTTGAACAAGGTTCTGAACTTGCTCCAGAAGTTCACGATTAGCATTGAGAAGTTGATGAGTTCGTGACTGTAAGAAAGTTCATTTGCTCGAAAACTCAGAAGTAAAACATACTTGAGCTTCTAAACGAGCAGTTGTTTCACTTGTTAGTTGATCACGTAACAACTGAACTTGACAACCGGCAACCTGAGCGGATTGTTGAGCTTGATCCAATTGTGAACGAATAAGCTGCTGATTATACTGAATTGTTTCATTTTTCACATTGGGTCACTTAAAATTACCTGTTCTAAAGATCTATTAAGCTGGAGAGCTGATTCAGGGTTTGTGTGGTCAATCTGAAAAGGTAACATAACCGATAACAGGTTGATATTTGCTGACTATAAGAGTAGAACGCATAAGGGTGGAAGTGGCTCTCTCAATGAGGAAAACAGAATACTAACCGAGGGAATATTTAATTGTAATGTTGCATACGGGGAAACCATAACAGGAGATGAAAGACCATAAGGAACTGAGGCAGAAACTGCTCCCGGCAGCTAAACACAAAGCAAAGTACTTGATAAGCATCAAAAATTAGTTAATTCATCAATCTATTTGAGAAAAAAAACAAGAAAAACTTTGACTTTGATGTTAGCTGACTGGAAGGACAAGGACAACGCTAACTTCTGACTACAAGTAAACTAAGGTCAAATAACGATTTTTAGAACTGAATGAAACTCAATGAAAAAAAAAGCCACACACCAGGTAGAGTATATGAGTATTAGAGTTGAAGCGTTCTTGAAGCAGGAAATGAAAAATTACCGGATAAAATACTGGCTGTTGCTGTTGTTGTTGATCCATTTGTACTGATGGCATTGATGGATATTGGTTTGGAATGGCTTGTGATGTCGTTGGAATTCCTCCATGACTCCATGTTCGACTATGGGGTAGGGTAGCTGATGAGCCAGGTAACGTCATCATCTGTAAGCCCTAACTACGTTACAAAGAAACATAAAATAGGTTTACGAAAAGCTTTTTCTAAGCTATACATACAAAGGATAAAGTCTAATCATATTTCATCAATTAGTTTGGTATATTCATAGTCTTAAGGTAATATGTAGTGTTGACTCACGGAATATTGTTGTAATGGCTGAGCCGTTTGAGGTTGTTGGCAGGTTGCAATTCCTTCTGCTACAGTCGGTAATGAAGCTGAAGGAGGGAAACCAGGACCGCTAACGAAATTGAAAGGTTGTCCAGCTACTTGAGGATTCGTTGTCATTGGTGCTACATTTCCTGGATTTTGTCTGAAGCATCTCATTGTTGGTTATCATAATTAGTGAGAAAAACTCACTGATGCTGTTGAATAATAGGATTAGAGAGAGCTCCATCAGTTTTGGAAGTTCCATTAGATACAGTTTGGGGTTGTTGAGTTGTATCGATTGCTGTACCCAGAGATGAACTAACTGACGAAGCTTTACGCGGTTGAAACTGAAACAGCGAGATAAATCAGATTAATTTTTGATGATCAGCTAATTGGTGTTAAAAACAATCATTTGTTCCAAAACTCACATTACTTGGACCAAAACTATTGAAGTAAATCATTTGAATTGGGGGTATCAATAAGAATTTTTATGACTCACGTGGCTTCACGCAAATGAGTTTCATTTTGAATTTACGAAAGTTCAGATCGGTTGCGTATAATTTACAACAGAAGTTCAATTAGTAGGAGGGGTTATGTTTGAACTTATCATAGAACTCACCAAAGACATTCGTTTGCCGTACAAAGCTGAGCCAGGTGGAGGACCCTCCATTGGACTTTCAGACCTACTTGAACCAGACCCAGCCTTCAAATAAGTTTAATTTAAATATACTTTACACAAAAATATACCTTCTCTTCAATTACATCTAGCTGTTGTTGTTGAGCTTCTTCCTCACTAACTATGGATGCTAAATTGAAAAATCAAAACTGTGATAACACTTTACTACAAACCTGAACGAGCTTTTTTGTTCATAATTTCATCTTCATGCTTTTCTTGCATTTGTTCTTGAGCAACTTTGTGGCAAACCTCAAAAGCTTGTCCGATAGTTCGAACAACACGCATCGCTTGACTCTGGAATTTTAAAATTGATTTCTTTCAATTTTTAATTTCTTCTTCAAAATTGTTGATTTTTGGCTATTTTGATTCTTTTCTATAACTGATCCATCGATTGTTTTTGTTTCTATGTATATTTTCTACGTGATTCTGGGGAATCTGGTAGATTTTGCACAATTGAGCACAGCTGTTTCTCTTGCTTCTCTCTTTGCTGTCTCCATATATCTCATTGGCTGAGAGTTCTAGCATGAGAGATTTGCCATCATCAGAACAGCAGAAGCTTCCTTCCTCCATTCTCGTTCTCTCTCTTCATCTCTCTCCCTCTGTTCCTCTTTCTCTCTATACGCTTTACCTCACAACTCATAGTGATTTTGTTGAAGCTATGTTTCAAATAATGATCATACAAAAAGGAATTAAAAGGAAAGTAGTATCAATTCAGTAACCTCAAGAACGGGATCATCTTGTCGAGGCGCAGATGAACTGATATCATCATCATCAGCAGACCAAGTAACAAATTTAGTTTTAATTGGCTTTCCACCAGGTTTCGCCATGAGACGCAAATAATAAAAACGTTTCTCTTCGCTCATATCAGCGACTTCATCCGGATCGAAGCGAATCATTTTCACCGATAGTTAGCCAGTAAATTAGAATGTAAGGAAAATAAGGAGGAAAAATATTCTTCGCATAAAACGGTAATTTTCCTTATTTGGGAAAATTAAGGATGAAAGACGAATCTTCTATGACATACGGAAAAGTTCACGTGAAAAACGTGATATTGAATATACTAATTTGGAATTCTGTAATAAAGAGAAAGTAGTGAAAGTAAACGACGACGAATTGTTTTTAAACAAGAAAATGTGATAATAGAATGAAAAATAAACAAAAACATATGTTTGGAGGTATTGAGGAAGTTCGGAACTAAAGTTATAAGGGATTTAGCATCAAGCAGTGCCAACAATAAGAAAACTGAGAAAGCGTTTTAAGAGCTAAACGTTTTTACTAAAATAGGTGGAAGAACTGACAAATTAGAGAAACGAACTGATTTCTGGTTCAAGTAAGTTCAGAAGTAAAGCTTTCAATTTCCATGAATTAGCCGTGAAACATGAATGTACTGTCTTAAAGGTTACGAAAATTCTTTGACAAGCATTTGGATAAAACGGCACACGGATGAAGCTGGATGGCACATGGGCCCACCCGAGCAACTTTTCGACTTCTTATCTTTTCATCTGCCCCTCTGTTTATCTCACAGTTTACGTGGATTGAAACAATCTCTCATGAGTTCTCAGCCTGTCTGATTATCTGAGAAGAAGCTCATTGTGTGTATGTCTAAGAGCTTCATAGTCGTTTTGCTCTTATGTTAAGAACATAACAACTGTTCTCCATATCCCCCACCCTTCGACTTCTTCTTCTTTTTTTTCCATTTTTTCTCTTCCACCTCATTTTTCACTCTTTCTCTCATCTTATTTGTGATTGTCACAAACGTAGTTTTATATCAAAAAAACTGAAGAAAAAAGAAAGCTTTGAAGGCTGAGCCATAAACTATAAAAAAAACAGAAAAAGAAACAATGAATCTCTCTTGAAACTGTCTTCAATTGCTTTTTTTTAGCTTCAAAGAAATGAAACTGAAGCTCTTCTGCCATAAGTCATGTGTATGACTAACAGTTCAATTTGAAACAAAGGGAATATCGGGGAAAACAAAAAGAAACCAAAGTATCAACTGTTTCGTCGACTTCATTGCTCATAAACTTTATCTTTTGCGATTTCTTTTTTACCTCTTCTTTACTTCCTTTTCTCTCAACCTCTTTCCACGTCATCATCTCTGTCTCTCTCTCTCCTACTTTTGTTTTTTGAGCTACTTTTCGATAAAAAAAAGAAAGAAAACTCACATCTTATAGCCACCCACATCACCTCCCTCACCTTCACTCTCATTTCAACCTCTTTAAATCAAAAAAGGTAAAAAGTAGAAACGAATTTGTTTTTGCACTCTCTCAAATTGCTGGAAATTCACTCAATTTATCAACCTCTTAATAGCTCCATCAGCAGGAAATGAAGACCAGGTGTGTGAGGAGGCAGAACTCTGTTGCGAAAATTTGGCAAAGCAATACATTCTCTTGTTTTTTAAGCGTTAAGATATTATATGAATAATAGAAAAAAAACTTCAGAGATTAAGAAACAGAAGAGGCACTAATCAAAACGAGAAAACCTTACGATGTGAGAAAAAAAATTTTTGTTGCCAAAGATTTTCATAGGCGTTAAGTGCGATAGAGGGGTAGAGTACCAAATGAGAACAAGGTGGATAAGTTGGTTGCAACAGCTAATATTTGACAGAAATGGATAAGAAAATTCAAAAATGTTCTGAGCTCCGACTTTGAATGTGCATTTTTCCTTCTCTTTTCTTTCTCTATCTCTTTTGCGTATGCCACATGCGAGCTTCATCTCCGCCTCTAACATTTTTCTTTGCTGTAAATAGCTGAAACCTTTCTTTTTTTCTTCTGTTGTGTGTGTGTCTTTCATTTCTTCAACTCTCTCAATTGGATACAATCTTCAAAGACTTCTCAGAGCAGACACTCCAACATATCAATAATATTTCATCAATTTATGTTGTATTTTCTCCTTTTCATTTTAACTAACTCATCTTCCACAAAAATGACCAGAACAATTACGTCATTAGCGCTGAGGCAATTCTTCATATCGTCAGGTAGTTCTTTCCAGCTCATTACTCTCTCAAAGATCTTCGAGCTTGTTGGCTATTTTTATATTCAACTTCCAGTTCATTTGTCTCTCAAAAGTTTTCTCGTTCTTCTGTCAGCCGAAGGTATTATCAATTATAATCTCTAACACGTTCAACATTTTGTTCGCAAGAAGAGGAAAAAGATTGGTGTTCATGGCTGTTTCAAGAAAAAAAAACAAAAATAAATTTTGTCCTTTCGCTCGCTTACTTCGTAATATACAAGTGATATGGAAAGCAAATGAGACGAGAGAAGTCATCAACGCGTTTCGCATTTTGCATGTTCGAGAAGAAATTGGAAACAGCATTTTGAACAGAAATAGTATATGATATAATAAAATGTTACAAGAAGAGGAAAAGGGGCAAAAGAGAGAAATGCAACTGCTCATGTTGTACGTCATGCCGCGTAAGAATGAAACTCACTCATCTTCATGTAACTTCACAATCATGAACAAGCATCAGAAAGTACATAAAAGAATAAATCAAGTGTGATCATTAAATTAACGCTAGAAAAGAGTGAAAAAAAAGATTCTACAGAGCAATTTCTCATCGTCAATTTCATGTTAGAGAAAGGCGCAACTGTTTTCAATTATTATTGACGGCTGTTTGGCGAGTAGTCGCTAACAAGAAAAATGAGCTGCGGGACCTTGTCTTGCTCAGCTTCATCTTCTTTTTCTGCCTTTTCTCATATTAGATTTTAGTCAGTTTCCGGTATAAATGAAAATGAAAATGAGTACAATGTGTGGTTTTATAAATAGAGAATAAACCTGAACACATCTGGTGTTTAAAAGCAAATCAAGAAGAGGATCATAGAGTAAGAAGAAAGAGAATACGATGAGGAGAGATAAGATTTTCTTCTTTTTTCAAATTTTCATTTCATTTTCCCACCAACTATATGATATCATTATAGATTTTCAGCTTTAAATATCTCATATAGTTCTGCACAGAAGCGAAGAACACCCATAAAATCTATTGAATCATCAGAGAATGATGCCTGTTCAGCACGAAGGAACTTGATATGTTCCTGGTTGTTTCGTTACAAACAGTTGTCATCTCATGTACATTTTCAATTTTTTTTATGTTTGTTGTTCTTTTCTTTCACATTGTTATCATAAGATATTAGGATAGTTACCTTTTTTGAGCATTTGAAAACATTGCATTTGAATGTGTTACTAGCGCCATCTCGAGCAATATAAGAGAAAATTTGGAGATCTTGAGAGTCGTGAGAAACGTAGAAAACCCTTTGAAATAACTTTTTATCATATATATTGTTTAATTTTTTACCTATAAATTGGATGAAACATAACCAAAAGCTTCGATTCGTCCCATGACAAGCCTTTTTGCTTTTGCTTAAAATGAAATTGTCTTTGAGTGAGCTGTTTTGAAAACTTTTCATACTTTTTTTCGTTGCAGAACCACCTTAACTCCATCCACGGATACCGTAATATCAACAGGTCGTTTCTTAATTCCTCGAGCTTTGAACTCATACTGAAGAGTGAAAATGATTAATTTGTATTGGATTTCTTCAATCATACCCGAACCCGTCGCATGGCAGCAACAATTTCGATGCGAGTTCCTGGACGAGGAATTTCCATACTACCCACGTACTGAAAAAAATTTCTTAACTGCAGAAAGTGCTTTAATTTTGTTTGGAATGATTAAACTGATTATAGGGATTTGAGAACAACGTTCAAAGCCTGAGTCGTTTTTTGATTGAATTATGCCTGACTATCATACATCAGTTCTTTCATGCTTCACTCTTTGCATTTCAATTGTTGTGGTAAGTCTGTGATGGACATCAACAATTATCTGTTCCTCTAAAAGATTACAAATCGTGATGATGAATTCCTCCAACGTCTCCGGCTATTTAAAGCATTATGTCCGGCAAGTAAAATTGAAAAGCTCAAAATAAGTTTGAGTAAAGTGAAGTGTTAGCTAGACTTATGGCAATATTTGGGTCTCTCGTAAGAGGTAGAGAGAGAGAGAATCAAAAAAATGGTCCTTTCATTTCCCAGATTGAAAGGTCAATTGAAGAACTTCCGGGATTGGAAGTTGAGGGAAGTTTGAGAAGTACGAATCAAATGAAAACTATGAAAATAACTTTATAATATTACCTTGGCTTCGAAATGGATGCCATGCTGATATGCCAATTCATTATGTAAGGGAATTCTGCAGTCGTATAAATCATCGGCTATGATGTCATAGGGGCCGTGTTTTTTCCGAACTGGCATTTCACTGTCTCAGCTGAAAAAAAATGTTGGTAACGCTTCATTAAGTATATGCTCACAGCATGCAGCATATCGTATTGGGGATGATGACGGAGCTGAACCGATGTCCAACGTTTATCGGCAGAAAACCGTCAAATAATTGTAAAGGAACAGCTTAGGAGAGCTTAAAGTGGTTGGGCTGCTTCTGATACAACAAATTGTTGTGTTGAGAGCAGCTAGTTAAGAAGAAATCTAAAAACGGAAGAGTATTATTGAGGAGAGGAAGAAGGAAATTAGAAGACGCCAAAAAACACGACGATCACAAGCCAAGAGATACATGAATAAATCAGAGAATTTAGAGAAGATACAGTCAGAGGAAGAAGCTTAAAAGGTAAATTAGTCAAATACGAAAGGTTGGTCAGCAGAATGAAAGGAAACCACATTTTTGAGGAAGCAAATAGAATGGAAATACTTTGGACATTATGTTTGAATGAGTGAAATCTTTTGTGTTTAAGTGAATCGAGAAAAAAGTTTTTTTCCACTTCACTTGGCATCAATGAGAATTGGAAGTTCATGTGATCAAGCTTTTTTCTAACTTTCTCTTCGAAGCATAATCGTGAGCAATCCTCTTGAGAACACATGTATAAGTTCAAGATTGTCTTAAATGCTAAATATATCGCATTACGCAAGTGATACGATTCAAATATGTGATGGCGAAGGTAGCTCGAAGTCAACACAAATAGAAATCATACTAATGCACGGAAATATACGAGGTTTGAAAACATTTTAGACGAAAAAAAACTGATATTGACGTTTAGTGTTCAGTAAATGACGGCAAATGGTCAAAACGGCTGTTGACCGACCCCAGGGGATGATATATCAGAAAGTGAGGAAAGAAGAATAAGTTTGTTCCAAAGCATGAGAACTAGCACCATATCGATGAGAGCGAAAATAAAGGCAGAAGATAAGTTGAATAATAAATGTTTTTGCTTTCTTTCCATGTTTTCATTTCACATTGTCGACAAGCGAGCTATGTGACTTCAACAGATGACTTCCAACCATATTTAAGAGAAAACTTAAGGGCAACATACTTTCCATACTATACTTTCACATAAATTTTCAAGGCGAATGGGGAGGCGAAAAAAAAGACAAAATTTCAAGAAAGTTTGCGAACGAGGATATCTCAAATCGAATTGGAAACAAATTGAAGAAATGAGAAAAAATCTGTAAATATTAGTACTTGGCTAAGCAAAAAAAAAGTGAGAGATATGGAAAGAGAGAGATTCTCTCTATAAGAATGGAAAACGAAACAGAAAACGAAGTAACTTAAAGGAAAAATTCTTTGAAAGAACAAATTAGCATAAATGACAAGAGCAAAAAGAAACTCGAATGCTGGCTATCAGAAGTCTAAACGAGCTGAGGAGCCTAATTGGTCTTGACAGGAATTACATATTCAGAAGGTAATTTGATTGTCGAAGCACTCAGAAATAGATGAAAGAATGAAGAATAGTGAGAAGAATTAGGGAATTAGATGGAAAGAAGAAAAGGTTTGAAACATTTTGTATATGAAGAGAGAACCTAGAGAGAGAGAGAGAGAGAGAGAGAGAGAGAGAGAAAGAGAGTGAAAAGAAAAACGAGAGAGAAGAAGAGATAGAGAGAGAAAAACGAAAAAGAAGGAGAGATGGAGAAAGATAAAAAGAATCAGAAATAGGGAATGAAGAAAAAGAGAAATTAGAAAGACTTATAAGGAAAAGAGAGAAAAAAGAAAGAGAGAGAGAGGGAGGACATTAGAGAGAAATATTCAGAAGTAAAAGTAAAGAGGGAGTGAAGAAACAGATGAAAACAAGGAGACAGAGGGAAAAAGGGGAATTTTACTTTCAAAAGTGATAAGTTTGTAGTTTTAGCTAACATTTTCTTTCAACCAAATATAAAAATTTATATTTTGGGACCAAAGGGATGAGATTATGCCATTTTCGTTCGTGAAACACGCTTTTTACATATAACGAACAAGGAACTGAGCATAAAAAGACTATCTGAGAAGAAAAGAAGCCTGAGATTCTGAGTTTTCTAATGGCGTTGACGACAAATTTGATCAAAGACATCATCAGCGACACTTCCGGTTGACTCTTGAAAAAGCATTTTTCTAATTTTCGAAACAGTCGATAGGGATCACGTAAAAAGAGAGATGAAGAGTATTAGAGCAACCGGTCAGTGATCAGACAACGTGGTGAAATGAGATTGAGTTCTAAATGAAATAAACGTGAACATACGTGAGAAGCACGTGAAAAGAGGTATGATGTTTGAAGGGTCAACGTGAGTTCAAGCAAAGCAAAAACATAAAGATGATCAGCTCAATGTGAGTTTGCAAAGAGTAAAATTGAGAAGGCATTCCGGCCAACGATATTGCTTGAGGCGATTTGTGATGATGGTAATCGGATTTGCTTGAGACATTCAATTACTTGTTATGTTGTATATAAAGATGATGAAGACTATGACGCTGATGAAGAAAAGAAGGAAGAAGAACAAGCACTAAGCATAAATGGAAGATCTTTCAAAAAAAAAGGAAATATTTGTTGTTGTGAATTGTGCAGATAAAATCTGATTTGAGAAGAGATCACGACATTTCAAAACACATCAGACAAATGAAGTTTAGACGATTTTCTGCTTTTCGTTTCGAGAGTCGGTGGTGAGAGTAGAAAGGTCGAAGGTTCATTCTCCTTTAAAAGGACATAACATGGGACGTGAGTGAAATATATGCAAATTTGGTTAAGAAAAACATTTTCTTTTTCATCCATATAGACGCAAACTTCATTGAAGACGGACCGTGAAGCCTACACGTTTCAAATTCATATTGAATGCTACTATGATTATGAAACTTTATGGAGATACAAAGAAGAAACTCAGGAGTAATAGAAGATAGATTATTTTATTCCTTCATTTCTCATCCTCTCCTTATATCTTTCCTGTATATGCTTTTCTCTCTATCTTTCTTTCGTTGCTGTCCCCTTCTCTCTCTCTTTTTCTTTTCTTACTCGCTTTCTAAACTTTCCCTCTTTAGTTCCATACTCAGGCATATCGTCAATAAAGGGTAATGTGGTTCAGTTGGTGTTCCATTAGACATTCCAAAGTTGGATAAAAAAAACTCAGGATGAAGCTTGATAAAAAAAAGTAAAGTGTGAAAAAAAGAGTAAAGGAATTGCATTAAAGTGCTTGAAATTGGAAAAAAAGGCTTGTGAGCATTGGTGCTCATGAAAGTGAAGCACTAATAAGGAAACAATAGAAAAAAGCATGAAGCCAACAAAATATATGTGGACAAATTGGCTTTTCGGTCAGCTTGGACTGATTGCTAATTACCCATCTTGACCGGAAAGGACAACGATGAACGAATGCTGAAGGCTTTGCCAACTGACAGAGAAATTTATGTTGGACAATGCTTAGTAGAGAAACAAGTGTCTGTGAAGGCTAACAACTAGCTAAGTGTCAAACAATTAGATGAAAGAGGAAGAAACTCAACGAATTTGCGTACAAAATGAGTCTGAAGAGGCATTGCTGATGAAAAAGCAAATCACGAAAACAACATACAAAACATTTTTCAACAAAATTGTTATAGTGTAAACATTAATAAAACAATTCTAATTGAGAGGCTTTAAAGCATGAACGTCAGCAATAGTGCTCGTAATGGTCTCACACGGAAATTTGAGCCAAATCAGACATGAAGTGGATTCTGAAGGAACTACTCGGACGAATAGAATACTGAGTATTCTCGAATGCGAGCTGTAACACATTAACGAGAAGACTCAAAAGACCAGAAGCTCGTGCTCTAAGAAGATGACCGTCGGCAGTTAATGTCGCTATTGAGATGTTTATGGTTTGTTTGTGAAACTAATGAAATATGGAAAGACAGCATTCAGTTCAGTTTCTTCTTAGTTCCATAAGCAAGAAGAGAGTGCTTGAATTGAAATGGACTGATAAGAAGAAAACAAATCATGTTTTAGGGAAAGAAAAAAAACACAACCGCTCTGTTCGTCGCAACGTTAAGGAAATGAAAAGCCAATAGATTGTCGACGAACGTGGAAATTAGCATATTCATGTGAGATATCACACGGTCAATGCATATTTTAAATGTAATTTTAGGCTGAAGCTCATTGGTAAAATAAAAAAACGTGTTCAAAAAAAAAAAAGCCTGAAAGATTTGGAAGAATAAAAATGGGGATGAAAGGGAAAGAATGGAAGAAAAGACAGAAAAAATAAAATTGGGAATTCTATTCCGGATCACGCACATGCCAATGACCGGCTGTCAGTTAGAATTTCGGTGGTATATCTCAAGTTGAACATCTTCATGCATTTAAGCTTTGCAAAAGTTTTGCAAATGTAGTGTTGAGACTGAAATGGGTAAGCCGTACTTCTCGTTTGATGTGCTTGGAATTGAAAAGCAAAAGAAAAAGCAGAGAAAAGAATCTCTGTGGTGATGTCTGAGCCAATTTGTAAAAAAACGCTTGCTGTATTATTATGCAAGATGAACTTTCCATGCCTTTGAATGGAAAAATCTGAAGAAGAAACCGGATGGGTGTTCCCAATACAATCGCAGAGATCAAAGACAGCTGCTCTTAAGTCTCGATCAAACGAAAGGAGATAAACTGCAAGAAACCAAACGAAGAAACTAGGCGGATGGAGCTGTTGGAGAAAGGCAAGTTGTACGTTCGAGAAGTGAGAGGGAGAGAAGCAGAGCCAAAATTGAAGAGATGAGAAAGTTTGAACTGTTTCAGAGAGTGTTGCGATAGGATGTAGGGTTTTAGATCTGTAAGACTTTCGACACTAAAAACGTTTCGAAATAGAACGGAGAGGTGAAAAATTAAAATAAATGATATAAGAGGAACAACAATTGAAAAATAAGAGAGAAAGAGGGAAAAAGATGGAGGGAAGAGAGTAAGAGGGAGCAAGATATTCCACACCTTGCCTGAGGCTTCACCTTCATTTGCTTCTTCTCTGCCTCGTTTCTCTTTTCTGCCACAACTCAACCTCAT